AAAAAAATATCTAAAATTTACTCATCCTTAATCGAGAATTCTCTCTTACTTGTTAAGAGGGGTAATTAACTATGAGTGCTTGCGCTCATAGGAAGTAAGAACCCCAGATCTAAATAAACCCTGACACTACCCTCAGGGGAAATCCGGTTAACTACAATCTGACTTAAGGGAAGTGAAATCCTACAGCTGGAAAGCAGGATTCACGCACTCGTGCCATTTTTCTTGAGCCAACAGATTTCTGGCGACTCCGCTGGGGATTACTTTCCTCTCCATCTTTGGATGAAAAGATAATTTATAATTAGTCTCAAAGAACAAAACATCTAGAAATAAATATAGATGTTTATTCAACATAGTTTGTGTTCTCTTTTTACCGTAGAATTCAGGTTGACTTTAATCCCTGCAAGTTTTGTTGGGAGGTTGATAATATGATGCCTGTGAAATCCTTCCATGACTGTGAACCTTGGCGAGGGAGCTAGAGTGTAGTTCCCTCAAGATGTTCTGAACACAGATTATGTTGGAGCAACCATTCAATTCAGAACTATTTCCAAAGTTATGCAGTTCCAACAGTTCCTTCCAGAGAATACTATAAGTGTACATATTGTCAAAGGTGTCGCTAAGAAGTCTACCACTGAAGTTGTTGATAATCAGGCTTCCAAGAGGGCCTGTATATTTTCAAGACTTTACATGACATCTGTTGCTGCTCCAGTGATTCAAAAGAAAGTTTTTTTTATCCCAAACTGCAATCTTTTGGTGTGAATATAACTGGTCAGAACATAATTCAGGATGAAGTGCCTGAAGAGTACAATGATGAAGTTCCTGACGCAAGTGTTAAGCTTTCTAGGAAAGACAAAAGAAAGGCTAATGCTCGCTTACAAGCTAATGGCTGGTTACCCGAGACCCTTCAAGAATCATCACCACAGCTAGAAGCGAATGTAGCAGTTAATAACGACTTTGAGCCCTTAAAATGGGTAAAAAGGAATGATGATAAGGGTCACTTGAAGAAATCTTTCTGGGAGACTTCACGTCAACAACCACAACCACCCAAGAAGGAAGAATCTGCCTCTTCCTAGATATATAAAATACTGAAGGTTGTCAAAGATAGAAATTTGCAAAGAAGTCTGAGAAGATCTGTCAATGAAGTTATCTCTTTCAACGTGGCTCGACCATAAAATACTAAATTTCAAGCAAGACCTCGTAGAGAGGAGTTTAGACTTCCTCCATACTACCAAAAGCAAAGAGAGTTCTGTCCTAATATGGGTCGATATCCATATTATGGAAGAAGACAGTTGGGAGAGCCTTTTAATAGTCTACATGTAAGAGACTATAATGGAATATATGATGAACGAAGGCCCCGACAATGGCATCATGATTCTATCCAGTCAAATGTACATTATGATATTGGTGGTCATCGGTATGTAACTCCGAGAAGACAACATGTTTGGGTTCCAAGAAGACCCAAATATCCTTGAGCTCAGAAAGATAATTTTGATCAACAAATTTATAAAGGGTGACTTAAATCTCATGTCCAGAAGTTGTCCCCTAATAAGGAGACTTATGTTGATGTGATTACACCAAAAGAGGAAAGCTGTCAAATATATAAGGAATCCCCCGACTCTCCAATCATATATTGGAAGCGGCGATCCCAACTTGAAGATGACAACGAGTTGGATAATGATGATAATTACTATGATAATGATGAAGAAGTGGAAGGGTGTATTTGTCCCATGGACATTGAAGTTGTCCGGATGGTTGATCATGTCCCCAATCAGCCTGATCAAAGAATGCATACTCGCAGAAACGCATCTTCAAATCTACAGATTGAAAACCAAATGTGAGTTAATTAAGAATAGGAAATCCATATAAACAGAACGCTCCCACATTCAGAAGCAGGTTGAAAAAGGAGAATCTAAAGAAGTTGTGAGAAGGTTGTAACATGAAATACAACTTCTCCATCAGATGAAAGACCAAGGAATCAATAATTCAAACATTCTTCTTGATGAAATGATCAGTTACATCTTGCCAAGTACAAGTTGTAAATCTTATAAATAAGAAAAGGTGTAAACAACATTGTTTATCTAGTAGTAAATGCTAGAGATCCTCAAATAATTCTTTATGATCAAGATACTCCTAACAAAGGACTAGATTGTCAACATGAAGTGGATAAGATGGTTAGTAAGACCACATCGAAGATCTTATCAGCCAAAAAGTCAAAGCACTTATTGCTTTTGAAACTGCTGAAGCCTTGACGGGTAAAGAGTGTCTAGCACTATTTATAAAACTGTAATGCAAACTACCCCATATTCACTAGTTTTTGGAACCGAGGCAATATTACCTCTCGAGGTTGAGCTACCGTCTCTTTGTATTGCTGCTCAATACGAATTAACAAAAGAAGAATATAATCTTCTACGACTTGAAGAACTTGAAGCTCTTGATGAAGTTAGACTTCAGGCTCAACAAAGTTTAGAATCCTACAAAGCAAAAATGACTAGGGCCCATGATAGAATGGTTCGTCCTA